AAAAAATTAGCATAAACAAATTAATTTCGAAAACATCTGAGGTGACACGGAAAAGCTTTGGCCAATTACGGTAGCCTACGTAAGATCACGTATCTCAGTTATCATTAGGGCGCGGCCTAAGGGATCCACAGTTAGTAATGGGTCAACTTTACCTTAATAGGAAGGCTTATAAGGCTAAAAGAGATGCTCAAGACAGGAATCGAACCTGTGTCGCCACGGCCACAACGTGGAGTACTAACCACTATACTACTTGGGCGGAAAGCTGATGTATTTCTGTTAATAACGGAGCTATAACTTCAGAAAGTTAAGTTGATATGATCAAAGAAAAACTGAACAAGAATCTCTTTCCTATATCATTGTTCCTTATTAAAAACATTTTGAATAGTTGCAATCCATTAGAAAACAATTTTGTAAATCCATAGCATAAAGCTAAATCTCAACAGTAATAACCCGGATATTGTCCTGCAAGAACAGCCTGATGAAAGGTTGATTCTTTTTTTTTATCATTTGTCAATCGCTTATCAGAAAGTTTATTTTCCCCACCATTACTCTCTGAAGATCCTTCATCTCAGGTGTGAAGGTAGCAGTCTGAGAGAGTTTACAATAATCGACGCTACCAACAAGATTTTTCCTATTTTCTCTACAGCCCTTTTGAGGTTGACTCATAGGTGACAGCTCACTCAGAAGACCAAAAGGAGAATGAAATGGTCAGCTTTTCTCTTCTCTCACCCGCGAGAAGTATAATTGGAAAGAGATAGGAACTTCAATAGATCAAGAACTGAATATAAACAATACAATCTAAAACTTCATTTGCAAAATGGTACAGATAGGATTTGATCACAGATTAGCTAGTACATTGTTTCTTATTATGGCTTCTTTGTAGAATTCTGGATGGCTCTGGATACATCTCCAATGAAATGAGATCCGTTCTCGCCTAAGCCCATCTGAATACAATTGTTATTGAGGCGATAGTTCATTAGAACTTACTCTGATATTCTGGTTATTTATATTAGCATTGCCTTCGACCTTAACTTCATCGTCAATGAATCCCGTCTGAGATGATACTTCATGTCTTGTACCATTGCTTGTTATGTGAGAGTTATCTTCAATTGCATAATCACATCCACTCTCATCTACCAACACACAACACTCACCATTCACAACGAAAGTGTCGTTCGAAACAGTTAATGTCGTATTCTTTCCAGCACCAAACCCTCCGACATCCAAATTATTTGAAAAATTGATGTCAACCTTAAGACAAATTGAATTGTAACTTAATTTTTCTTTTCATCAATTACCTTTCCATCTTCCCGTTTTCCAATTTTCAAGTCTCCAAGGAGTAGAGGGATTCGAATGCATTCACAAACTCAAATCTGCTTATTATAAGAAAATGAAAAAGTTGAGTAACCAGTTAGTAGAGTCAGGAGGAAGATGACAGCAGCCTTCATCTCGAATGGTCTTCGGTTCCTTAAGCGACTTCACTGAAGGTAAAAGAGAAACAGATAAGAATACATGTGATGATCAATTTCTTTACTAAATCCGAATAACAACTAAAACAATGTTCATTTCAAATATTTCTTGAACATTAGTCCAATATCCCGTATTGTATAAGAGTATAATTGGATAGAGAGAGAGAGAGAGAATATGAAGAATAGAGAGAGAGGGAGAGAGGAGAGAGAGCGATATCGAGATCGAAATATATAAAGACAAAAACAAATTACAGAAATAAACACAGAACTGTTAGCTAGTGCCTTATGAAGGCTCACAAACTAAATCGACAAAGAGAGAAAGAGAGACGGCTAGAGATATAGAGTAGTCACCAGCAGATCAAAAATTACAAACTATAGGTGATTGAGTTAGTAAACTAGCAACTCCTAGAATGAGCAGAGGAGAGCACGGAAGCATTGGCGGGTGATGGCGGATGTTTGAAAGGTGAGAAAGGGATCTTTACAAGATAAACATGAAAAATGAAAAAAAGGAAAATAACGAATGATAGTTACTATCATCACTTAGTTTTTGAATAAAATGGCACCCGGATCGAATAATAATAATAATAGAAATATGACAATGTAGTTATAATACTTACTAGAAGGGAGTTCATCCAGACAGTAGATATAGAGAGAGAGAGAGACAGAGAGAGAGGGACAGAGAAGGATAGAGGGTGAGGGGGGGAGTATGATAACTAGGAGTAAGAGGTATAATCATGACGATGATGATGATGATACTAATGTGTCATGCACACAGCCAACTCAACCAATTACTCCAATTATCAGGTCCATCTTCCATATTAGGCATTCAAAGCTATTTCTATTTACACAGAGACATTAAGCTTCTTTTGCATTAAATAGCAAACCTGTCAAATAATTACTTTTTAATTAAAATATAATTTAAATATACTTGATAATAAAATTCTTTTCGTCCCTCATCAGTCTCATGATTAATCTTCTCAGCAGCTATCATCTTAGGAACTGTTCCCATGCCAATACGAGAGCGTAGTGAACCAAATTTGAAGCCACAACTGCAAAGAAGACATTTTCATTTTGTCTTTCTCAATGATCCCTTCTCTCTCTCTCTCTCTACTACTCTCTCCCTCTCTCTCTCTCTGTATACAACATCAAGAACACATCTAATATTCAGGAAAAGGAACATCTTTAAATGACTTACTTGGCTGGAATTAGTCTTGACGACTTCTTGTTAACAATGGATGAATTTGAATTAAAATCTTCTTGGGCTTTAGTTGAGCGAGACTGCAAATGACCAAATAAGACAATACAAAGGTAGCCGTCAAAGCCTTTTTTATATTTAAAAGAAGAGGATGACATGAGAAGAGAAAGAGAAGAGTCGAATGGCTTTACTTCCATGATGATGTCATTTGTATGGAGATTATACGATTCATGTCAAAACAAGACGTTTTTCTCTTTTCAACATTCTCTTTCTCAACTCATGTTACCATCTTAGAGCTTCAATCCTAATAAGGAATCTATATAGATGGATGAAAATGACTAACCTTTGTTTTAGAAGCAGATGATATAGTGGTAGCAGTTAAACGACTGGTTAAAGAGTCCATAACACTGCTCATTTCCGGTTTCCTTAAACATTTCCATTGAATGACGATCAAGAATCAAAAACGACGATCATATCAAAGAAGCAAAAGAATACGTCAGACGATGGAAAAAATGGAAAGAAAAAACAATTTTTTTTCGTCCAAATTAACAGACTCATTAACTCTCACACAGCCACACGCACACATACAGCGAGAACATCGAACTGAATGAAACTGGGAGGATGAACAGAGGGAGAGGGAGAGAGAGAGAGATGAGTATAGAGAAATAGAGATACATAGAGAGAGGGGAGGGTAAGAGATGTAGAGAGAGAGAGTAGGTTAACGCAAATTATTAATAAAAAATTCTCATTTTAACCTTGAATCGTGAGTCTGAAAATCAGTCAGATCACCTCTATGAAACTGGACCAGAGAGAGGAGGAAAGCTTGTCATTAAGAGAAAGCATTTCTCGTTCACTTTTCATGCAAAATGACAGAATGGCAGAGAGAACAGTCAGACCTGTTCTTCTTTATTCGTGAGATATAAAATAAAAATAATTTGACAACAAACTTACTTAAGAATAGCAAGAATGGAACTCATACGAGAGAAGACACACATGCATAGAGAGAGAGAGAGGGAGAATGATGATAACAGAGAGAGGGAAAGAAGGTTATGATGGTGAAGATGATGAAGAAGAAGAAAAATGAAAAAGAAAAGCAAAAACAGAATGCTCATTGATGAGGAAATATGAGAAGGAGAAGTTTGTAGGAGAAAAAAAAATATTGTAAATACCCATAGTAGGAGAGATTTAGAGAAGGTGAGAGAGTGAGTGAGAGAGATAGATAGATAGATAGAGAGATATTGAAGAAAGGAGGGAAAGGTGAAAAGATAAAGAAATGAAAGAAAGTAGTAAAATGAACAACAACAGAGAGAGAGAGAGAGTAAGAGAGAGGGATACAGAGAGAGAGAGAGGGAATGGAGATGAATATAAGGAAAACAAAGTGAAATTACAAAAATGATAATGAATGAATAAGAGAAGAGAGTCGATTATATAGATTATAACTATTATTATAATATAATACAGACGTTAAACTACTAAATACACAAAGTGGTCATAAAACTTGGCGCTAAAATACTAATGGGAGGGAGAAAATATAATTTGAAAAATAAAAAAGTGAACTGTTCGTCTCGCCTTTGATCCTTCTATCTAATGTCATCTTATATAGATATCTATGGAGGAACAGAGAGAGAGAGAGAGATTAAGATAGGTATAGACATAGAGAGAGTGAGAGAGAAAAAGAATTCTAAGATACCTCTAGAAAGAGAGAGAAAGTTGCAAGAGGCTCTTGCCACCCAACATCCTTATACCTCTCACACATAAATCAATCAATAATTATATTTTTTGTTTACAAACATCCAAATATGACGTGTTGAAATGAAATTTTTCAGATGAGAAGCATGCTCATTGAGGTTACGTGGCTGGTAGGCTTCTTCAACGAGTATGCATGTGAGTGAGAATATGCTAATTCATATTTCATTTGAAGCTTGAGCAGTAGTGATGAACGGTTGCTTTTTATATTAAATTTAAAAATCAAATGTGAAGCTGTTTGATAATTGAATTTGAAGTCGACGAAAAAGGTTTATTAAGATAGAGAGAGAGAGGGAGGTGGGGGGAGAGTAGTGGGTAAATCGATTCCATTGATTTGGATGGAAGGGTGACGAGTTAATGAGGAATGACTTTGATTAATCAAGTCTTCTCAAAGAAGTTTCTATCTCTCTCTATCTCTTACCCTTACTCCTCTCTCTCTCCCTCTCTCTCCCTCTCTCTCTCTGCTCACTCTGATTGCAAATGTTTATTTGGCACTTTATTTTTTCTTTTTCCTTCAATGGAAATAGTTTGAAAATTGAAATATTTGAGTCGTTTTTAGGGCCTTGAGGCATGAGGAATTGAGAGAAAGAAGAGCAAAACATCAATTAACGATGTTTGAAGAAGCAAATTCCATTCAAAAACTGACAATTTTCTATGAAATTTCCGTTTTAAAATAAGAAGATTGCTTAAGTAAACTTAATAATGAAAGTTGAAGCTTGGGATGAAAGAAGCCAACGACATGGCCCGTCATGATGATGATGATGATGATGAGGATGAGGATGATGATGATGATGATGGTAGTATGCTGATGGCGAGGAAAAGGAGATGAAGCAGGAAAAGAAGAAGAAAGAGGAGAAGGAGGAAGGATTGCAAAAAAGACTTTTTTATATTAAAAATTGAATGATAAATAAGGCCGGCACGATCAATAGACTACCTGAAGAGTTGGAGTGTATGAGACGAGAAAAGTTGTTTCAAACAAGTTTTTGAACATACACATACACACATACACACATACAAATCTCTTGTCTTCTGATTATAAAATTATATATGAAGAGAAAGGCATTTGGAAGATCAGAAAACAGACGTTTTTGGAATTCTTCATAGACGCCTCTAATTGCTCATAGCTGGGAAGAAGGGAAGACGATGAACTTGAAGCTTTGAAAGATTTGAAAAGGAGATTAGAAGCAACACACAAAAAAAAAAAAGTTACAAAGAGCACAAATAGTTCAAACGACCTAATTGTACTGCTGCATGAAGCAGAGAGAGAGAGAGAGAGGAAAAGGGAATGAATGAATGAAGCAACAAGATAAGAATACCATATGGCAAAGGTTATCTGATTTCTGTTTCCTCTAAACATCAAGTGACAACGATCAGACGAAAATATAAAATTGCTCCCTCGGGCTATTTCCGTATTTGGAAATGCAAGAGATGAGACACAGTAAGCAGACCATTGTTAAACAGATTGACTTGATGTAGAGTTTGTCCTATAGATTGAGTCTTTTTGTCGATTGGAGAACTTAAAAGAAAATAAAATGAAAAAAAAAGGCGAAAAGCTGAAAAAAAGAGAAATTTCGGACTCTCTCTCTCGTTTTCTCTCTTCGCGCTTACTCCCCCACCCTCTCTCTCTCACTTTTTCTCTTTCTACAGCTATCAGACTGGCGTAAGCGCAGCCCTGTCCACTGTGCTGCAGACAGAGTTTGCATCATCATTCATCAACAACATGCTTGTAAACATCATACAGAAAGTGTTTGAAAAGATATTTCAATTTACATAGATAATGAATGTAAGAAAAAAAAACTTTTTTGTCTCCAAAGTCAAACAAAGCCAAGAAAGTATAATGAGAAAGAGCATATGCTGTGAATGCATCAAAGAGTCTCGAATGGAAAAGTCTTTTTGTTCATCAATCAGGAGATAGCCAAATAGACAGATGCACATACACATATATATTCAGTGAAAAGAAACAACAGCGAATGAGGCAATGGAGCAATGTGTTAGAAAGAAAGGTATGCAAGGATTGATATAGAGAGACAAGACACAT